TTGTCTGGTCATATGCTAGATGCTACATACACAGTAAAGACATGGTCCTGAACTCTTAAGGGTCTTCTAATAAAGTGCATGGGCACCAGGACTGATCCCAAAACATGTGGTGAGGGTGGGAAAATCACACATGATCTCTTCTAGGACCCTTGAACTGCCTAGGAATTTACAGATGGCCATGACCTTAAGAACAGTGTTCTGTATGTTGAGACTCTGAAGGTGGAATACAGATTGCTGCAGTTAGGTGAGACCCTCTTGGTTTCTAACTTTTAAATATCTGCTTCTTTTGGGTGACTTCAGTTGTCTTAACATTGTCGTCCAGGCAGATGCTGAGAGGAAATTGTTTAGAAGGCTGACAGGCAAATGTTTCTCAATTCAGTACTTTCCTTGCTATATATAATAAGCCAAACTGGCAGACTTTTACTGAGGAGTGTTGTTTTGGCTTCCTTCAGGTCAACATCAAACTTGATTACATCAGTTGGAGGCACTCAAGAGGGCTTTCCCCTACTTGGCTATGACTGTGGCTCAACTCTCCAGCAAAAAATGCATGTGCAAATAATTAATAAGGGTTAACCTTTAATCAAGGGGTCAGCAAAATACTGATTTGCTGGCAGACTTCTCCTTTCAGTAAAACATAATCAATGAACCAAGTCTCTTTCTAATGTGCCTTCCTTGAAACTGGTTAGTGAAAATGATGCAAAGGATGGATGTGGGATAGAAAGCAGAAGACATTAATTGGTCTTAAATCAGTCTGACCTTCACAAAATCTCAGTAGCTTCTGAGTCTCTAAAATCTTTTTCAAGGTGAAGGTGTGTGAGAGAGGAGAGAAACACAGAGACAGACACTTCACCACATTTGTCTTTGATTCCCTGGCCCTTCTCTCCATCTTTATAACCTGCACACATCAGGACACAACTATACTGATACCAGTACCTAGAAAAAGGGAGATAAGAATGAAAATCTGGAAAATCAAATTCCTCAATCATACCTTTTATACTTTTTCTTTTGACTTCTTAGTGAATTATCTGCAACTTCAGTCACAAATTTTGCTCATTTACAAAAACATAAATGAAGTCCAAATCAAATGCTTTGGGACTGCATGTAAGCAGATCAGAAAGATGATTTCACTTAAAATAGCCACTATAACCAAAAATGACACACACAATTCACCTTCTTAGCTAACAATTACTGAGTACTCCCTCGCCATTATATGCCATTTATTCATATAATCCTCACACTTTGAGGAGATGGGTATCATTATCTCTGGTATTCTGGGTGGTACAGTTAAGGTGCTCGGCTACTAACTGAAAGGTAGGAGGTCTGAATTCACCCAGAGGCACTGTGGAATTAAGAGCTGGCAATCGACTTCTGAAAAAAATCCGTCATTGAAATACTATGGAGCAGTCCTACTGTCACACACACAGACTCACCATTAGTCAGAATCTGACTTGACAGCAACTAGTTTATCATTACTACTTTACCTATAAATGAGGAAACTGAGTCTTAAAACATGAAACCATCTGCCTAAGGGATATGAAACTGAAGTGCTTGGAACTTAGGTAATCTAACTCCAGAGCCCAAACCATGAGCTATTATTATACCCCAAAATTCAAGAAAGTTTAAATCAATCTTAATCTAAACAATCATTCCTCTCAACTACCAAAAATATAGTATATCATAATCTGGTTTAAGTTCCTGACAGATTAAAAGGGGGGAAAAAAAAGTTCTGACTGGAACATGGGTTAAAATAAAGAATAAAAAGACTGAAGAAATTCTCTACAGGATTATGAAAGTAATGAATTACAAGTCCCCCTAATATTGAGATTCCTATAGGATTCGTCCTGTAGCTGAAGTACTTACAATCAAGTACTTCTTAGTTTCAAAGCCCTTTGGACAGTTACAGTATTATTCCTATTCTACAGATAGCTAAGAGGCCTAAAGGGGTGAGTTAAGTTTGCCCAACTCACACTGTCCTCATACCTCAGCCTACTACTTCAGGCCCCAGATTTCTTTCTTCCCTCCTGCAGTGCTCTTCCTGATGCACCCTAGACAGGAACCTGTGCCACAGCACTTCATTCCTTCTCACCTTGGTGTTCAAAGACAAATTTTCTGAGTATCTGGAGCATTCAAACCTCATCAGACATGTTAAATCAGATCCTTTTAAATAGGTAAGGTAGACACTGAATATTGATGTTTAAAGGTTTCTCAGCTCCATCACTACCTTTTTATTGCAATAATGGCAAATAGTGTGGGGGCACAGTGGTTTAAGTGCTCATCTGCTAACCGGGTCTGTGGTTTGAAGGCCCCCAGCCTCTCCGTGGGAGAAAGATGTGGCGGTCCACTTCCCTAAAGATTTATAGCCTTAGAAACTCTATGGGACAGTTCTACTTTGTCCTACAGGGTCACTCTGACCTGGAAATGACTTGATGCAATGTTTTTTTTTTTTAGGTCACTTTAGAACACTGCTTTTCTTAGGCTGGTAAACTAGAGTGGAAGGATTTATTATTTTAGAATCTTTACATTTCCTCAGCAGAAGTGAGGTGGGTCAAAAATTACAGATGCTTTTAGCCCAGAACAGAACCAAACCAAGGTAAATTTAAAATTAACAAACAATGTGTACAATGAAGATCCCTTTTCCTACTCAGTGTTACGAAGATCTCCACTTTGGATTCTATCCAATTATCTGGCACATGGGGAAAAGGACAGGAAAATGGGAAATAGCATGATCATTTGTTGAGAATAGGTTCTAATACTTTTTTATATACTCTCAATTCATAAAACTTAAGACCTGTATAGTACCATTCTATGGTTCAGATGAAAGCATTAAGGATTAGATAAATTAACTCACCCAAGTTTGCAAGGTTTATTTAAAAATGTTGAGTTGATTCAGACTCATGAGGACTCCTTGTTTGTAAACGCTATTGCTGTTCTGCACCATTCAAGTTAATTACGACTCATTGCAATCCTACCTGGCAGAGAACTGCCTCACAGGATTTCCTAGCCTGCAATATTTATGGGAACAGACTGCCAAGTCTTCTCTCCTGCAGAGCTGCTGGTATGTCTGAATTGCTGACATTTCAGTTAACAGCAGAACACTTAACCACTGAGCCAGCAGACTGCCTGCATTTGTAAATAAAAAAGAAACCCAAAAACCAAACTCACTGCTATCCAGTCGATTCCGACTCGTAGTGACCCCCTTTGAGTTTCTGAGGCGGTAAATCTTTACTGAAGTAGACTGCCCAGTCTTCCTTCCGCGGAGTGGCTGGTGGGTTTGAATCACGAGCTTTCTTGTTAGCAAGCAGTCAAATGCCTTAGGCATTATGCCACAAGAGTTTCTTACATTTATATATAGTGAGGTATAATTTAAATCCATACCTGAGCCCAAACTGTACTTCCCTCTAGACAATTTGTTGTTGTTGTTATGTGCCGTCGCGAGTCGGACTCATAGCAACCCCTCCTTGGGTTTCTGAGGCAGTATCACTACGGAAGTAGATTGCCCCGTCTTCCTTCCCATGAGTGCCTGGTGGGTTTGAACCGCCAGCCTTCTGGTTAGCAGGCAAGTGCCTTAGGCACTATGCTACCAGAGCTCTTCCTCTAGACAATTCTGCCTCCTAAAATGCATGTGGAAAAGAAACAAGCACCTGAGGGTATAGGTACATGATTTAATTTAATCCTTAAAACCACGTAAGGTATCATTTATTAGTAAGAAACAGGCTAAAAGTACTCTATGTAATTAGAGATCCTGAAAACTAATCAAGTGATGGGATTAATGCCATCAGAGGTAACAGCTGCCTTAGACCAGCATCCGTGTGATAAAAATATTTTTGTTTTCCTTAAATCAGAATAAACTCGAATGGGCAATCTGAATTTTAATTGAGGTACGGAGGGGTATTTTATCTAGAGAAAACACAAGACCAGGTTTATTTCATACAATGTTATTCACACATTTTTCATTTTCTAATTTATACATAATATACAAAGAAGTGAAGATAACATTATTTTATATGAACCAATAAGAGCCAAAACTTAAGACAAACTGGTCCAGAAATAATCTATATATATAAAAAAAAAATACACTCAAGAGCAAAGCCTATGTGGTTCTGCCCAAATTAAATTCCTTTATTCTAAAATATCACCTTCAGATTTTTACCAAAACTGTATGCCAACTTATTAGGACAATTGGGAAGATTGGGTTGTCAACACTGGGACACATGGGAATATCAGGACCCCAAGAAAAGGGCTCAATTTCCCACTGTAAAGGACTTACCATGTTCTAATTTCAGAGATAAACGCCTTTGTGAATAGAGTATAAGCATAAAAGAAAACCAAGAATTCAGCTGTGCAAATAAAGGGAAGTCACTACCAATCTCCAACAAGAGCAGCTTTGATCCTGAAACCATGGGCTGACATGAGGAATAAAAGTTCAACATGGGGGCCAGGACATTCAAAAGCCGGGAAAGCAAAGTAAGAAAGGGTAGAAGACAGCAACTTTGTATGGCAAAGAAACAAACAAAATAAAACCCAAACAAAACAAAATCCCAATCAAACCACTGCCTCTGTGACTAGGACATTCTCATAAACCAGTGTGACTATGAAATGGGACAACCAGTGACAAGTTTGGATTTAATGGCCTCACCAAGCAATGTTGGGTTGGAAAACTAGAATAACTCAACCTTGAACATGAAAAAGTATGCCTGGTACCCCAAAATTTATGCCATTTTTTTAAAGTTCATGATATGAACAGTGAAATGATAAAACCTTTATATTACTTATTGTGCTCAGAGAATTCCTCTTCTTCAGATTGCTAATAAAAAATTCCTTACATATTCAATTGACTGAAATAGCATGTTCATTTTAGTTTTCAGCACTAAACATAAGTGGGTCAACGTAAGTGTTTTTATACAAAATACTGATTTCAACAAAATACAAAGCACTTTCTTTATCTTTCAGAAACTGAATATACAAAGCAAGTTTTTTTTTCCAAAATATTTTCATAGGCAAAGGATTAAAAACGATTTTAATTATACACATATGGTCACAATTTTGCCTTAAAAAGATTGTTGGGAAATGTACATAAGGCCGCTTGTAAATGTACATCATATGTTACTGTGTCTTATGTCCAGAGAAAAAAATGTTATCATACACATTTGCTCTTACTTGGGAGGAGGCTATTCAAAAATACAGTACTCTTCTGTACAAAGAAAAAAGTCACATAACATTTAATAAGATGGAAAAAGCACTGGCCTCCATGGTAACCAAATCTCTCATCCAATACTTTCTATTATGCACAATACCCTGACTTCAATTGAAAGCGACCCAAATCCTAGCACAACCATATTAACAGAGTCACAACTATGTTATAAAACAAAATGTGTATCACAATAATAAAAAGAAAGCTGGTTCATACCTCTGAAACCATATAAAGATAAAAAATTTTTTTAAAAAAATCACTCTTGATTTGGAGAAATAAATTTACATTATTCAACACTATATGCCAAGTCAAAGAGGGCAGGGACATAAATGTACACTAAAATGCAAATGTTTCCCAAAGAGATAAAACAAATTCCATTTACAGCATGAAGGTTTACAAATGTACAGCTGTACAACCAAGGTAAGCATCACTAAATTAGCAAGGCTTTAATAATAAGCATTGAAACAAGATTTGCTTTCAAAGTGTAAACTTACATCTATCACTACACACACAATGCATATATTTATAGGAAGCAAAAAAAAAAGCTATCTGAATATGTAATCATACTTAAATGTTGAGCTATCATATTCACTTTTCAGTGGCCCCTTTTCACGTCTCCCTGGTTCCTACTTTCTGGATCTACTATGGGAAAGCTCAACACCTCCTGCCTTTATAGTTCTACTAGCAAAACAAAATACAAATTTTCACTCTTTCTCATTGCAAATCAAACTGAAAAGTTAATACTGGACTTAACTTTTCATTACTGCACTTAATGGGATGAAGTGTCACCATGATTTTGTTTTTTTTCTACCTTTTACAACAATTACATATGTAAGTATATACAATAGTTTTTGTACATTGCCAGAGACATTTTAGGGCAGTATCTGGATTAAAACCACATCCGCTATAAATAATGTAGATTATTTTCTTCTCAAATCATTTAACTCTTGTCTTACTCGCTGAGTTTTTACTTGCATGATGGTTTGTGAATTACCAAAATACAACTTAACTTTTTCATTTAAAATACTAATAATATTTATGTAATTGATTGCTAATCTGTTATAAAAGGCTTCAGACAAGGGGGGGATGGGAAAGATAATTCTATATACATCTCTATAAACCTGTTGTGCTATGGGGTCGTAGACCTACCAGACTGCAAGCCAGTTTATTAAAAGAATACTGTACTTTTCCCTTAAAAACTATTTTTTGTGTCTTTACAAGGTAAAAATTTACAAAATATGTGACAGTTTTTTTTTTTTTTTTTGGATACAGTTACATCATATACAGGCATTCTGTGCTTTGCCAGCAATCCAATCTGATAGGTCTCCGCTTAGGGCTGGATATTTCTTATAATTCACCACCCACCCCCCAAATATACACAAGAACCTTAAAAAATTTACAAATGGATGAATAAAGTCAATAAATAGTTTTGCTTTTAAAAAAAATTGAAGATCCATAGTTGAGTTGTGTTTTGATAATTCACAAAAGAAACTCTTTTCACATGGTTAATTCATCTCCTTTTCCTTTACAGCATTCCATTTGGTGGTCCTCCAATAGGCCCAAGATCTGGGCTATTTTTCAGATAGTATTTTTCCAACTTGGCCAATATATGCTTTCCATATGTGTATTTGCGCAAAGTGGTAATGTGAGGTCGAATCTGAAAAACAAATATTCTATTTAAGTAATAAGATTTATTATCTGATTTTCTGATTTCTTAATAAAGTTATCTCCAAATCTGTGTAATTTAATTGAGAATAATTAAAATTTTAAATTACAAAGAAAGCTGCAGGGTGCAAAACTGTACTTCTGTTCCAATCATCTCTCCAACTCTCTACTTTCAAAACTAGTCAATGAATAAACCAACCACTACTTCAAAACTACATAATATACGAAGCACAGAGGCTCTATATATAGCAGGAATGAGCTACTGAACTCTCATAAACCTTCTGAGGGCAGAATTTTATACCTCAGGGAAGCTGGACAAGAATTCCAAACAAAATGATGCAAAAGACATGGCCAAGCAGAAAGATGTATTGATTGCTAGTATATTTAAGATGCTCAAATCACACTATTAAAATGCCAATTAAAAGAACCATATCATTTTCTACCCATCTAGACCGACAAAGATTTAAAATAAATAATAACTGATGTTGATGAGGGTATGGTAAAACAGGCACTCTTTTCATCTATTGAACAGAAATATGAATAAACTTGTAAAAGATTTTTTGAGAGTAATTTGGCAATATCCATTAAAATGCAAAATATTCATACCCTGTGACCCAACAGTTCCAAATTATCCTATACCCTATAATTTAATTACATAAATTATTTCAAATTATTCATATTGAAGTTAACTAATATCACACAAAGCACTGCTTATAACAGTTAAGAAATTAGAAACACTTCAAATGTCATACATATTAGTTAAATAATGTGGCTGTTAAAAAAGGTGAAATTTAAGTATATAGGACTTTTTAAGCAGAAATATTAGATTAAAAAGTAAGTAGAAAATTTAACTTAATACAATGAGCTGAGGAATACATTTTAAAAGTCAAAAGGGCCAACATACTAATTATTAAATGGTCAATTCCTTGATATACAAGTCCAAAGAGGTCATGTACTTTGAACAAATAAATTTAAAAAAAAGATCAAGAGTGAGTATCTTCAAACATTATTTCTTCCAGTGTTCTTTTTAACAGTAAGTTTTCCTATGGCAATTAATGATTTTTTTTAAAAAAAGGATCATTCAATTCTAGAAAGTATAGGGAGGGTACAGGTACCAAGTGAGAACAGCTTAAGAGGAAAGTACTAGGAATTACTGCTACCTGAAAAATATCTAATCAACATAAATTCTCTCTTTACAAAAAATGCATTAGGCTAAGAAAAAAATTCTAATTACATTTAAAAGTCAATGTTCAACCCATCTAGTACTGCATCATCAAGTATACCCGAATAAGACAGGGAAAGAAGAACTATACTAAAGTTAGGTACAGAGATGAGTAATGAAAGTAATTTTATTGAGTAGATTACCTTATGAATTTAATAAAAGCGAAAACTATGTCAGTAATGCCAAAGGTTATCCACTGATTTCAGATTTGTTCATTAGTTATAACATACGAAGAAAATAATGAAAGCCTATAGAATTATTAAATGCTTGTTACAAAGTCAAACTGTATTTAAGTGCTGTAAGTTGTATTACCTTGTGCATGATTATCTTTCTCTGAGCAGGTTCAGCCATATCAATCATCTTCTGAACCACATAATTGGCATACTGGTCCTTCATCATGGTGTATAAGGCACTGTGAGGACCATCATTCTGGCAGCAAACCTCATCAATCAGTAAAGCTCTCTCGGCACGGGAGGCATGAGTAACACACTTTTCTACTACATTGCTAAAAATTAAAGTATATACACACAAATTTATTTAATATTTTTTTTCCTTTATAGCAAACTCTAATTGGCTTTTGAATGAAGTGCTCAACCCATTAAAAGACAGAAGAGAATCAAAACAGAATTCTCTTGTCTTTACAATAACTTTTAAAACAGAAGCTAGGATCATAGTAGAACCCATATTTTGACACCCACAAGCATAATTACAGTCCTCTTAGAATTATCAAACAACTGTAAAAATGAAACGAGGTCATTCAAAAGTCTGAAACTTTCAAGAGTTACATCTGCATTTTCTGAAAGATCTTTGGTACAAACATTTTCTTAAACAGATTTCAAAAATGGGCAAAACTAATTTGCCATGTAAATTTTTTTATGTTTTTGCCTCCACTAAAAAAAAAAATTATAGTCCAGTGGTATATTCTACATGCATTTCTGTAGGCACTAGGACTACAGGGTTACTAATAAAAGCCAAGGAGCTGAAAGAACTGACCCAGGAGTTAAAAAAATATTGTTAATACCTGGCAAACTTGTGCTGACTCAAGGCTAAAACTTTTCCTCTGATTTCAGAAACAATTTTGCTCTTGTCTTCAGGTCGACCATGTTCCAGTACATGCTGAATAACATAATTGCCATACTGATCCTAAGGAAAGATATTAAAAATTATTTTCCTTAAGAGAAAGGCAGAAAGACTATTCTTTAGAAAGATATTAATCAACTTGTCTAAAAGCCCAGTCATGTAGTCAGGAGAAAACAACAGGCATTTGCCTCACTGTGCTATTCTATTTCTATAGCATGTTAGCAATAAATTACATTTCCTTGAAAAAATAAAATCAGAACCTTTAAAAATATACAAACATTTTAAATTATCAGAATATCTGTTATACCTGTACCAACTGCTCTGTATGCTGATGGAGTTCTTCTAAGATAGGTAAGGTCTGTTCTGCAGTGCAATGCTCTAGGATGCGCTGAATTACTCTGCAGCCGTAAGGATGAGTTGAAAGCACAAATACCTTAAAACAATTAGAAAAATTAAAATATCTACTCTCTGACAATTTACAAGTGTTGAGGCAGACAGGTTTTTGACAGTATGCTTGATTAACTGAAAACAGAAAGGTGATAGACTCACATGTAATGACTACCATCATGCTAGTGAAGCTGGGAGTAGGGGTGGAAGTGGGCTCAATTTAGATCTACAGATACTAAGATCAAAAGGAATGTAATCAGAAGATTGAGGGCTTGTAAAAATGGAAATGAATGGATTCAGGGGAGGTAGTGGACACAGTAATTAAGAACTATTAATTATAACGCACTAGTTACTAATTGCCATTTATTTTTCCATCCTCCCCATCTCCCAGGAAATATGGAAAATATGGAAAAAACATACTGTTGGGTCATAATTCTACTAGTAGTTACCTTTACTTTATAAAGTAATATACCTAAACTTGTATTTCTAAGTTTTTCAGCTTCAAAAATATGAAGCTCTCCACTCACCCTATGAAAGAGAGGCAGAAGTTAATGTACATTTATTCTTTTGTCTCCTACTTTTCTATCAAAGTGGTGGGGATTATCTTGGGACTCAGGAAATAATGTACAACACTCTAATTCTAAAACAATGTCCAGCTAACTAATTAGAGGCAAAAATCAATCTTACTTGTCCTTTGAAAGCATCAATGACGAACTGTAGTGACTGCGGCTGAACACATTCAATACACTTTTGTACAACATGGTTTCCATTCTGATCTTTCACACATTTGAGCACATGGCCATCTAGTTCCTTTACCATTTCACTCTGAAAAAATAAGATACCATTTAAGCAATTCCTCCCTAAACAACAGAAAAGAATTGAAAATGATGGAAAGAAAAACATTCTCAAAAATACTATTTACTGTTTATAAATTTTTTAAAATATGAAAGTTGAAAGATTTTTCTCCCTAACTTGGAATTATCAGAAAGTTGGGAATTACGAAAACATGTGCAGATGTTTTTAATTTGCAGAATTATAATGTAAATTATACTTCCTGCCAAAACTACTATCTTTTCTGTGTATATTTTCCTCAGCTGCTAACAACACTGATTCAAAATAGTATACTTTTCCCCTACTTAGCAGTATTCAAGTGTCTAAAAATACATAAAGTATTTGTAATGACTGCACGAGCCTAAAAAGTATTTGGAAAAGAAAAAAGGGGGGGCATTTACAGGCTATGTGATGTTTACGTATTATCTCAATTATGGACAGAAATTATTAAACATTTTTGTTCTTCCTTTTTAATACTCTTATAATTAAAGACCTTGCTTTATACAGCTTTCTTAAAATAATAATAAAAAAAAAAATACTTGAAACCTTCCCCAGGAATAGAATCTCAGGAAATTTTAATTTTTTTACACATTTACCATTTGATTAATAAGGTTAATTTTATTTATAGTAAAGTTTATTTACTAACTGCATTTTCCCTCTTTTAACTTTCATGTCTTTAAGCTAATCATCTTAGCATTTTTTCCTAATTAATTTCTAAGAAATTATTAAATAAACAAATTAATCCTTTGGGTAAAATACTGGCAGTTAGTACAATAATCTGTTTGGTGTTATGAGAGCAGCAAGGAATAAACATTACTGGAGAAAGAAATGGAGTACACATACTAAGTTTAAAGGCATTCATAATTAGAGTCTCTTTAAAAAATATATTGCTCATCCAAATAATTCTCAACCTTATTCTGACATAATTGTGAAGGAAACTAAACACTGGTTAAATACAAAATAAAATGTATTTAAAATCAAATTCAATGCTGTTGAGTAGGATTAGACTCATACTGTGTCAGAAACCTCCTTGGGTTTCTGATGCAGTATCTCTATGGAAGTGGATTGTTCAACCTTCCTTCCAAGGAGTGGCTGGTAGGTTTGAACCACCAGCCTTCTGGTTAGCAGTCAAATGCCTTAGGTACTATGCCACCAGAGCTAGCCAAATAAAGACTATAATACCATTACTTATTAACTGACTCACCTAAGACTTCTCAATTCTTTACATTTTCATACAATGAAAACATTTAAAATATCTTTAAAATATTAATTCCTATTTGAGACTTCTGATAGAGAAGTTCTACACTTTTATATAATAAAATTTGTTCATCTTTTTCTAATGGGACGCATCTCCAATTACTCTATAACTCAAGATCTCCTTCAGAGGAATACTACTATCTCCTTATGGATTTGAAAGGTATGATTAATACATACACACACACAATATCCACTCACCTAAGCATTTATTATTATTGTTGTTATTCTTGTTTTTAATTCTAGGATTTAGTTTATTCTATGTATGTGGGTTGAGTCAAAGCTACTGTCTTTCCAAACTCCTTACTAATCACTTACACTTTTCAAGAAATTATTATTTCTTTCATTCTTACAATGTTTTTGTTGTAGTAAATAAATCTGTTACATATAAAACAATCTGAATGGAGCTATCAATTCTAATTTAAAATCTAGTGGATCTGCATTTCTTTTCATCCTCTACTCTTCTTGGCTATTTCAAAAAACATTTAAAATTATTTTGATCAGTGACAAGAAAATTGCCATGAGCAAACAGTTGAACTGCACTAATCCTTTATTAAAATACTCTCTTTTCTCTCTCTTAAGGAACTGTAAATCTTGTTAAGATGATGCTTTTCCTGTTACATATACTTTTAACTGAAGGAGCTCTGGTAGCATAGTGCATAAGGCACTTGACTACTAACCAGAAGGCTGGAGGCTCAAGGTTCAAACCCACCAGCCACTTCTCAGAAGGAAGGTTGGGCAATCTACTTCCATAGTGATACTGCCTCGGAAACCCAAGGAAGGGTTGCTATGAGTCAAGTTTGACTCAATGGCACATAACAACAACAACATACTTTTAATTAGTATGTAAAAAAAAAAAACCAAACTCACTGCCATTGAGTCAATTCTGACTCATAGCGATCCCCTTTAGGTTTCTAAGATGGTCAACCGTTACAGAAGGAGACTGTCCAGTCTTCCTTCCACAGAGTTGCTGGTGGGTTTGAACTAACAACCTTCTGGTTAGCAGTCAAATGCCTTAGGCACTATGCCACCAGAACTCCTTAAGTAGTACAGAGGAATACCATTTGTTTTTTAAATATTAATTCTTCTAATGGAAATACAAACCACAATCCACATAAACATCAGAAAGAGTAAAATGCATTCCTTACAGTTAGAGGAGATCAAATAAGCAACTGACAGCAAAAACACACGTCATCTAATAACCATTCAGCTTGCCATATGGTGGGTATTCAAATGCCTTCATTTAGTGATGAAAGATGTTGAAGAGTGGATATGGAGGAAAGATCAAAGATCTATATGGTAATTTTAAATTAGTAATCTGCTGTTTGAGACATTACCAAAGATATTTTAATCTAATCGTGGAAATATATGTCCTTTCATTTAAGACAAAAAACTAAGTAATAAGGCCCAAAATCCATTAAATGGGGAAGAGAATGTTTGTTTAATAAATCATGCTGGCAAAACTGGAGATCCATTTGCAGAAAAATGAAACAAGATCTGGACCTCACACCACACACAAAAACAAACTCCAGATGGATCAAAGACTTAAATGTGAAACCTAGAACTATACAG